GTTTGCATAATTTAGTCTCCCACACGGCAAGCTCATGGGCAGGAGTAAATGATTTAGGCTCAACCAAGTTTTCCATCAGTGCGAGTCTCTTTTTGTCGGTATCTACATCTCCGGAAGTGACTCGTGTCAGAAACAGAATAGAGTCATTTCTTAAGCGGTCCTGCAATTTAGCATTCATTATACTTGTGCTAGGCTAGAAGCCAATCCCGCTGTGAGCAGTTCAACCATCGTTTTTGTTCTTTCGTTACAACAACTGCCTCCAAGCTGTTCAACAACTTGACAGAGGCAAAAAAGAGGCAAATATTCTATTGAAGAGGTTTGTCTTTTCTCAGCCCAAATATTGGACAGGTCACCAGGAACACGCCATCAGTATTCTAACCGTTCAAATAGAAAATTTTTTCTGTTTTAGAATCACTCGTACCAAAACGTTATGGAAACCTTCGTGAAATTGATTTTCAGTTTTTTTTCAGATCGAGGTTTAAATGGACCACATGTTCAATGAAACGGCGTTCTTGCGAGCGGCGCAGTTTTGCTATTTTATTCCAGTCTTTCTGATTCTAGAACAGCAACCATCACCTAAGTCGTTCAGTTCCTTACTCGTGAGCAATCCTGATGATGACTTCCTTACCGGGAGTCGAAATTTTGGCAAAACCAGAAGGTCCTAAAGGCACTGTTTTGTTGAAACGATAGACAATTTAATTGGTCATACTTTTGGGCATTATAATAGAGGATAATATAATACGTAATAATGAATTTTAAATATCATTCATATTGCCCTTTAAGACTGGCTACAGTGAAAGAGGGAAACACCAGAAAACTGCAGTTGTGATAGACCATTACACGCTTTACTTATTTATTAATTATCTTTAGCGAAGAAACTGGTTCGAATCAGAAATTCGTACCGATACTGCGCCAGCAGAATAAAATGTGTTCTAAGTAAGCTGAGTAGGCTAATAAACGTTGAAAGCCGAAAGATTTTGTCCGTTGAATACCGTTTTCATTTTAGACTTTCTTTGAGCATGCAAAGACCCTCTGCAACCCTGTGATTTGCAACAATCCTAATCTCAACGACCGTTCCTTCTCCAAATCAACAGATGAAATTTACGATGAATTGTATTTGAGACAAAGATGCCTACGGCGAGATTGTAAGACGCAGTCTCTCGCACAATCAGTTAGCACACGATCAAGAGTACGGTGGCTTGAGGGCATCGGAATCAGGGAATCAGGTTATCAGGATATTGCCCTGACTTAGAATATAGCATGTGCAGCCAAAGCCTAGCAGGCAAAGATCCGCGATCTTTGGAGTTGCTGATCTCCCAACTCGAAAGGAACGACGAACCTTGGAAACGAATTGACTTA